AGCGGGCCGTGCCGGGATCCCGCTCCTTCTCCCGAAAGGGCTCTCCGCGCTGCTCTGCTCGCTGCCCGTCCCCGTTGTTTGCATTCCCCTCGCCGCGACATTTCCGCGGGTGCCGATAAACCCTGGGCTCTCTGCTTACCGCTGCTACGGCGGACGGCTGCCAGGGGCGTGTTCCTGCGCTTTCAGGTAGTTGTTTCATGTCCCAAAAAGGGCTTAATTAGGAAAGGGGAGAGGGGAGAGCCCGACAGCCCCTGCCTGCCCTTGTGTCAAGCGTTCAAGAAGCCGCACACGGGGCTGCGCGCTCACCTTTGCTGCTCGGCCCGACCGCCGCTCCCAGCGCTGCCTGAGCTTCTGCCCCGGTGTTCATCCCAAATCGCCCTTGGTGGGGCTGTCAAAAAAACCCAAACAAGACCCTCGGATGTCAAATGTTCTTTGGAGCGAGCGAGCCCCGCCAAGGAGCCCCGCGGCCGGTTTAGGAGCGAGAAGGGAGGAATGTGCCATTTGGGGAGGTGATGACACACGCGGCCGTGCTGCTACACCTGCAGCGGCCCTCGCCGCGGAAATGCCTGCGAGGGGAGCGCCGGGAGCAGCATGGGTGGCCGGCAGAAAGAAGCTCTCCCCGGCCCTGGGGAGCCCGGCAGCCCCGGCCCCGACGGCGAGGCACAGCTGGCTCCGGCTGCTGCGTCGCCCTGCTCGGATCGAACCGCAGGGGAGCGGCCGGGGGCTGCCCGGGGAGGGGAACCCTGGAGAGGGGCTCTCCTCTGGTCCTCATCCCTTCCCCGTTTCGTTTGTGCCCGGGGGCGGCGTGCGGGAATAAACGGGCCTCCTTTCTGGGACCGAAATCACCCAGCGCGGCTTCTGGGGCACACGACGGGAGATAAGAGATTTGTTATATGGCTCTAGGCGAAGATGCAGAAACGTGTTCTAACTGGGACATATAGAAATATATAATTTATATATATATATATAATAGTTCCTCGAAGAGCGAATTTATTTCTCGGTTAAAATACGTTTCTACATCTTCGACTGCCTTTTTCCGCAATTAGACTGTCCCGGGTAGGGGAGCAGGGACCCGTAGGCGGGCAGGGGAAGGAGAAATCCGCTCCTGGGCCACCGAAGCCCTGGGTGCCCCGACGGGAGAGGCCGGCTTCCCCGGGAGCTGCCAGGCCCCCGGGCTCACGCTTGGTTACGAAAATCGACGTCGCGTTTAAAATTGTCGGGACAGAGCACATTCGGGTGCCAGAAAGGCAGGAGCGAGTCCGAGGGCTGTGAGCGTGCAGCTGCTCCCAGGGAGGATTTGGGCAGCCCCAGATGCTCCTGGCACGGCCGGGGAGGTTCCTGCTCAGGTGGGCCCGGCTCCTGCTGCTGCCGGTGGGAGCCTCGTCTGCTGGAAAGGCTCGGGGGTCAAACGGGGCCGGTGTGCCCCGCTGGCGGGACAGGACCGAGGAGTCCGCTATAAACCGGTGGGAAATCCTGCCGCTGTACCCGTGCCTCAGCAGCCCGGGACACCGGTTTGTCACAGCCCGGGACACCGGTTTGTCACACCCCGGGACGCCGGTTTGTCACAGCCCGGGACACCGGTTTGTCACAGCCCGGGGCACCGGTTTGTCACAGCCCGGGACACCGGTTTGTCACAGCTCGGGACACCGGTTTGTCACAGCGACATCTCTTGCTCTCGGGCCAGCTGACGCTGCCTCTCTGCTGCTCGGGGAGGCTCTGCCTGAAGGCAGGAGAGGGGAAGGAGAGGGGAATGTCAGTGCCACCTATTCTACTCCAGGAACCGTGTGAAATAAGCCGAAGCCCTCCAGGGGAAAGAGCAGGAAAGCTCCCCGGTTTGTCATCCCCCGTGTCGCCACCCTGCCCCGGCTGTCGAGGTTCCTGTCAGCCCCGCAGCCGCGCAGGGACCCGCGTGTACTCTGCGGGGAGGGACCCGACACCTTTCGCTTTCTGCCTTCCGCAAATAAGAGCCGCAAGAAGCGACTTGCAGGGAGCGGCAAGAGCCCTCCTTGCGCTCCCCGGGCGCGATCGGTTGGCGGGGCCCGCGGCCAAGACATATAAACGCGACCGCGTGTGCGGCTGGACGTGTGACAAGCCGCCGTGGCAGGGCGAGCGCCGCGGGCACACCCCTTCGCACCCAGCGCCGGGCTCCGGGGTGGGCGGCGGAGGCTCCCCCAGCGCCCCCC